AGAACATTATTTGCATCAAGCATTTGTTGAAGAGCTTGAATAATAAATGCGCGTAAGGGGTTCCTATCAGGATGAGAAGAGTAAAAGTCCAAGTAATTCTGAACCTCATTATCTGAGAGGGGGAAGATCCTTTACTTTAGGTTAGGCCGGTCTCGTCATTCACGAAATTCCCCCGTCCATCGATCAATGACGCGAGTACGCCACCAGTCATAGCGAACGAAAAAAGCGTTCATCTCGTGCCTAAAAAAAATTTCTATTAATTGATCCCATCAATATATAGTTGTGAAAATTTTGGACTGACCTCTTTAGAAGGAACCAAGCTTTCAATTCGATGATAAATCTGACTGCCAATTGAGTACACATAAACTCTTCCATCATTAATGGAGTGATTCACTTTTCCACCGATGGAAATAAAACAAAATATACCATTATAACCATTAATGGGCATAATTCCACTTCTCGTCCCAACGCCCCTTTATAGTTGTATAATATTGGTATATAGATCTAGAACCTTGCTTACATGCCTGAATTTTGTCTTCGAGATTTGAAATTCATAAGGCATAGGGTTGGGCAAAATGCCTCTTCAATTCATCCCACAATGTCTTAGAATTAATGTGATTCAACATTGATCTCTTAATCTCCTTTGTCATTGAGTTCTCAAGCCAACAGAGCACCACTGTGTTGCAAACATCCCACAGACTAAACATATATGCATCTCTAGGAGGAACTGGGATTTGACCCATCTATGAATCCTACATTGTTCTTAAGTTTTCAGTACCACTTGTATCGATCTACTCCACATTGGTAATTTGTGTCATCGAAAGGTCCATCAACAAGGGATCGAGACATGTTTTCATTCGGGTTAAGGTAGTAAAGGTTACTGAAAACAACAGTATCGAACTGCAGCTTATTTTGGTTAAAGGTACCAAATCGAACACCTGTTGCACCTGATGTTGTTGTTGCTCCATTTCCACCAGTGTCGGTGAGCGACGACGTTTGAGGTGGAGTCTGTCCTCCTGACATCCTGTCGTAGGTGGCGGAAGAACCCTAGAGCTCGTGTAGCTTTGATACCATAACGATTTGGATTGATTTGTGGAAGAGGAAGCTCAGCTAACTCTGAGTCCTCTTTTCCTTTTCATAGCTTGGAAAACAATTACCACGACAAGTGTCCTTACAAGATTGGCTAAAAGTTTAAATAAACAGTAATACTTAACGGCCAATAACGACTAAGTGCTACCCTGTCGTTTTGCTTCCTTCTTCTTCGCAATTTTGCAACACGACGTCGGTCTTCTCTTCTGCTTCACTTCACATCCATATCCAATAAGGATTGCAGACACTTCTTATTGTTGTGCTCTTCATCAAACAACAGCAAGGCATTCAACTCTGTCATTGTTAGAATGCAATGAAATTAAAGAAGTGAAGTTCACTAGGATTTCATATATTAAGGATCGATTCACTCACCTGGCCAATGCGTAAAATTGTGGTTCTTCGACTCCCCAGTGATAGACCGGATTTAAAACATCACTCCAAGCCCTGCGAACGCCAAGGTATAACCCTTGTCCACGGATACAGCACTCGAAGCCCTACGAGTGCTAAGGTATAACCCTCGTCCAAGGAAGAAACAGTTGCACGAAATTGCTGATAAGAACATAATTATGAAAGGATATTGAAAATGAATATGAGAAGGTATTCTCAAACCTTAACTATGGAGGACTTTGCACAATTGAACTCGGTGTAGGGGTTGTCCGTAGGCGCTAAAGTTGTTGTCGGTAAGCCAGCGCAACACAGAACGATCTGCAGCTTCCTTGCAGAGGAGGAAGGTCTGTGCGGCAGGAGAGTGGACAATGATTATGAGAGAACTTTGGGGATTCTTCCGACTGCTGGAACCACTTTTCTCTTCGTGGGCCTTGACAATAAGTGGGCCCGTTCAGGGACGCGAGAAGGCGAGCTGTGTACGAAATTGTTTCCAAAATTACCCCCTCCCCCGGTAAAACGCTTGGAGGCAAGGTTTTTGAAATGAGGTTCCTAGTTTTTGCTTGTTGCTTTTATATTATGTTTAGATATATAACTAGCCGATACCGATCACTCAAATAATCCATTATGAGACCAATGTCCATCAACGAAAGAGGGAAAGAAAAGCTTCTAGACGATTACTTTGGCACTGCTGTAGCTTTTGCAGAAGCAGCTTCTGACTGGAGCTTTTAGAAAAGTATTTTTCAAAAAAAGTAGTTGAGTGTTCGGCCGAAAAAATATTAGAAATGTTTTTTAACACGAGAGTTGTGTAAAATGACTATAAAGGACTTATAATATAAAATATGAATAAAATTTCTAAACAATAAAAAGTAGTCAAAATGGATTTTGTTAGCTTTTTAGGGTAAATGCCACATTTGGTCATTGAGATTGCTAAATCGTGTCATGTATAGTCATTAGAAAAATTTAATATCAATTTTGGTCACTCGAATTACTGAAACATGTCATATTTGGTCACTCTCATGTAGCCTCTGTCCAACTCCGGTCATTCAAATCAGTGAAACATGTCACATTTAGTCACTCGAATTACTGAAACATGTCACATTTAGTCACTCTCCCGTTAGTTTTTCTAGTAATTCGAGTGACTAAATGTGACATATTTCAGTAATTCGAGTGACCAAAATTGATATTAAGTTTTTCTAGTGACTAAACATGACACAATTTAGTAATCTCAGTGACCAAAAGTGGCATTGCAGCTCCAAGGAAAAGACGGCGGATACCTTCACCAGAAACAAACCCTCCGACGACGATCGGTTCACATTGGAGACGATCTCCTCCTGGAAATTCTGATTCGCCTCCCGAACCCAAAACCCTCATGTCGCTGCAAAGCCATTTGCAAGGGATGGAGGTTCCTTATCTCCAATCCGCTCTTCACTAGCCGTTTCATTTCGCACCACCGGAGCAGGAACCAGCAACCTCACAATCGATCATCCTGAGCTTTCTCCCCATGACCAGTGGAATTTCGCAGTTTTGGACTCCTACAATGACTTGGTTTTGTGCGGGTTTGATGGCGGGAATCACAGCGGTGGCGAATTGTACAGATCATACTTCGTGTGCAATCCGTTCACTAAACAATGGGTCGCTCTTCCTTTGTTGCCTGAATTACCAATGGGGTCGAGAGTATCTGCAAGGTTAGTTTGTGAATCCCGCATTACCAACCAGTCAATGGAGTTGATCAATCTAGTCACTAGAAGAAGTAGAATGTGATGAAAGTCTTGCATCCTGATGAAGGTCTTAACTCTACCGATTGCCATGAATGTCTGCAGAATTGAGTCTAGTGGTAGAGATACCAGAAGTTGCAGGCTTTTATACAGTCCTCACAAGGCGAGTAGCACTCCCGGAGAGTAGAAGCTAGTGACGAAATCTGGGCTGGATTTTCAACTATGTTCCTCCAAGGTGTTGTGTTGTTTTCATTCTGCAGCTCAGTGTGAAATCAGATTAATGAGTACAACAGTTAATGGAGACCTGATGGTGGGTATCATTGCTCGAAGAAAGCAGTTTTTTTACAACCTATTTACTTTTTTTAAGGCAAAATACACTTGTATAGCCAAAACTTTCGCACTTGTGCCAATAATAGCCGAATTTGGAGAAATACCACTTATAGCCAGAATTTTGAAACTTTTGTGCCAAATATAGCCATTTCCGTTACAAACTTTAACGGTGTTAGAGACTCCGTCAGTTAGTTTAACGTTAGGCTGACTAGGACGCCAAATCATCGCACACATCAGCGACAAATCAACCACATTCGCCACGTAGGTGACACGTCATATTTTTAATTTAAAAACAAACGAAAAATTCATATATTAATCATAAAGAAAGAAAGGAAATTTTCAAAAAAAAAAAAACAAATAAAGGAAAATCGTTTCTCCCCTATCGCAAACCACTCCGCCATTCCCCTCACAATCGGAATACACCTTCCTCTGCCTCTCCTCCGCCGCCACCAGCCCTCACCGAAATTCACCCAAGCTCTTGAATCTCGAAACCCCCTACAGCTCCGATACCGCTTGTCTGCCCGTCGGCGGAGGAGTTGGAGCAGACGCCGCTAGGGGAAGAAGATGGATCTGCAAGGAGTTGGAGCAGCCGCTGCTAGGCTTTGGATTTTGCACGGCGGTCCCCGAGGAACAGGCGACGACGAGGAGTTGCGAGTCACTGGTACCCATCTCTTTTGTGCGTCGAATCGGCGATTGGAGAAGGTAGACGAATCGGAAGAGGTAGCGACGGTGGTTGGTTTCTCGTCTTCCCAAATTAGTGTTTCAAAATCGATTGGAATCCAAATTCGTTGAGTCGAATGATGAAGCAGAGGGAAGGGAGGCGGATTGCATCGACGTCAGGAAAAATCTCCAGATCTGAAGATACCGGCGCTGTGGAATGAAGGAAGTATGAAATTGAAGTCTTCGGAGCGGTAGGAGGAGGATGCCAACAGGAGGAGGAGGAGGTTGGGTTTGATTGCAAGTCTTGGATTGAAATTTAAGTACCGAAATGGGCGGTGTGGAAGGAAGGAACTATGAAGACGAGGATGGGTAGAGTGACCAGTGCGGCGGCCGGAAAGACTGGCCGGGAAGGGAGGACGTTTTGGGACGATGATGGTGGGATATCAATCACCATTATTGGGAAGCAAAGAGAGAGAAGGTTTTCGGTGGGGATAGGGAAAGCGAGATGAGATGAGCGACGACTGGGTCTGGAAAAGGAAGGGAAAGAAAAGAACATACAGGGCAGAGAGTAAATAAAAAAATGTTTAATAATTTATTTTTATTTTTGTATTAATTCCACCTCATATTGGTATTGATCAAAAAATTGACAAGTCAACTTTTCTGTTAATCCAGTCAGCATGTTAGATAACACCGTTAAAGTATTGGATGAAAGTGGCTATTTTTGGTATTTCTCCAAAAGTGGCTATATTTGGTTAAACCGTCAAAGTTTTGACTATACAAGTGTATTTTTCCTTTTTTTAATTCGGCTGCATAAAACTTATAATATCTTTTCCTTAATTTCAATAAATATCACCATTAGAAAGAAAGGAAAAAAAAGTCTTGCATCCTGCGAAGGATAATGGCAATGGAAGGAAATTATTATGTATCAAATAAAGGGGAAGGAGCTTCCCATCAAACCAGAAAACTCCTTAGAGCACATTACATGTATATATATATTCAACTCTTGGCACTCGTCATCACAAACATTTGTACAGTATAAGCAATTGCACATTTCTATCACTGAGAGTTTACAATTGTACTAGCCCAATACAGCAGTGTGTCCAAAGGCAACACAAACAATAACTGCTCTTTTAAGTACAAGCAACAAACTGGACTCTGCAACCACATTAGCCCGATCATCAGGCTTCCAAATTCATTGCAGCTGGTTTGGAGCTGCAGGGGATCTTATCATTCCGGTGGCGGATTGGACTGGATCTTCTCGTACAGCTTATAGATCAGAGTTGACTTCGACAGCTGAGCCTCTCGTTCCATCACTGCAATCACGTCCTTGATGGTTAAACTCCGAACCTCCCTAAACTGTGCTCCTGCAACCTGGCTCCTTCCAAATTTCCTACCACCAACTGAAACAGATCGAAAAGGGTTCGGAAAAACAGAAACCAGTCAAACATACAAAAAAGCAGTCACATGAGTTCAACATTATGAATTGCAAAGTAGCTTGTTTTCTCAAACGTACAGGATCCAAGACCAGAGCTCTTCTTTGTTCCATCTTGACTGCCATTCCTTCCGAAGAATGATTGGGCCTTACGGCTCCCATCTTTGTTAGCTGACTGAGAAGAAGATGCAGTTTCATGACCACCTTCACGTTTCTGTCGGGCTTGCTCAGCCATGAGCTGCCATTTCGACAGCATGTCATCTCCACCAACAGCAGCCCTGGCTGCCACGTTTGCTGCTGTTGTTCTCATTTTGTCATCCTCCTCTTTGTTCACCTGTGTAGTTTGAGTAAATGTTGAAATACTGCGTTTCGGTCGTATGTTTAGGAGTTCACTGAATGAAACTTCCACAGATTGGATTAACTGTCCTGAGTTACCTTGGGTGCTTTTCCTTTACCATCGTCCTTTTCCTTGTCCCCTTCAGCTCCATCATCATCCTCGGGCTGCACACACATATCACGCAAGGAAATGCAACATGGTGTGCATATCTCAAAGAGGTATATAGCTCTACAGATTGTTATCTCAAAGGGACAAAGTGAGAAGTATAATTTCTTTGGTGAGATGGCATGTACTTTAATGATTTGTAAGACTAATGATGATTAGTATTACTCAGAAGTTATAGACAAATTGTGTTTCGTTGAGCTTTTATCTCAAGTTTTGTTTTTAATTCTTTATCTTTTAGACCAAAAGAGAACACCCTAAGTTGGAGTAGCATCCGTTTGAGGATACCACATCACAACAATTGCAGGAACAAAACCTACATCATTTACTCGCCGTAGCTTTTCTGCTTCAGCCAGCTTTCTGTCCCATTGATCCTTAGCTTTCTGGTTCATTGCCAGGAGTTGTTGCCGGACATCACAGGTAACCACAGTCCTGTGTCTTGACTTTTCTGAATCAACCCTCTGTAGAGATGCAATCGGAAATGGGAAAATGAAACAAAAAGTCAAAAACACAACACCAAAGGAATTTCCAAGCAGAATTAACGAAAATCAGAATGGGAGAACAAGTGCATATTAGCAAAGATTACGAAAAACTGACCTGTTTCGACATTCTGATCATGTTACTTATCAAACTCCGCATTCTCTCCTCCACGCTCTAAACAAACCTCTTATCAGGAATTGTCTAATATGTTCAAGTAAAGACGGGATAAAAGATTTTGCTTCTCACCAAGGACAGGCACTTCTCTACATCATTGCTAGCATTCTTCAGACCACACTTGGCCACTGCATGGGCATGTTAAGTACAAGTAAATCAACATTGCATAATTCACACTATTACCTCCTTAACAAACAAAGTACAAGTTGATGAAAAGAAGAATTAACTGATCTCTGCCACTTTTTTCTGAAGAGGGGTTTTCTGCAAAATCAGCCTCTCCTCTTCTTCTTGTACAACTCTTCTAGATGCTTCGGAGACACGACTGTCCTCCTTGTTTGCAGAGAACAATTGTTCTTCCTCTTCCTGTAAACAAAAATATGCACGGAACATTGCAAGATCAGGTCTTCTCTCATCTCTCATAGTCGGGATTCAGGTTCAGGTTCTTATAGTAATCTGATAATACTCGTTACTCAATGGTCAAGCTTAATGATTGGGGAAATGTTTTACCCGAAGATTAACTCCACTGACAGCAGTAACATCATTCAGTTGTTCAATGCTTTGATCTGAAAAGGCCCCAGAAACCTTCTGCTTCTTACTGTAGAAGAAAATATGGAGAGGTGGTTACTCAACCAAGTAGACCACTATTTTGGGTGCACTGATCCATAAAACGTTTTAGTATTGAAGAATACAAGAACGTGTGCAGCAAATACAAACTACAACAACATAATTGGTAGTAGCAAACTGACGCAGGGAGAAACGCAGCAAAGGCACAAAGCTGTTTGGCCTCAAGCACGCAAGCTTTGTAGTCCAAGAACTCTACAGAAACTCCCTTCAAAGAAACTTTCAATACTGGGAATAACGTATCGAACATGAGGTGTCTTTCTTACGGGAAAGAAATCCCTTTTCATAAGGAGAACTAAAACCTCAACAAATTAGGAAAGAGATAAACCTTTGCATTCAATAACTTTTCAATTAGAGGTAAAAAACCAAAAATAGGATTAGAATTCAATTAGGAATTGGAAGCTTAGGTGGAACGATTATGATGCCTCATCACAGACTTGAATTTTACCTTGCACCAGGCGGGGGAGATCCAACAGCTTCTAGTGGATTTTTTTTCTGCCCGACGGAGGGTTTTTTTGGAGGTGTTCTTGAATTTGTAGTAGCAGGTGAAGTTACGGGAGGAATCCTGGGGGCAGCCTGTTAAGGAAAATATGAGGCAGATTATCATTCTCACATTTCACAGTATTATATATATAATCCGAGCATTTACTGGCCTTAGCCTCCTCAAGGAAAGTGTCACTTGTTCCTTCTTGAGGAAATCTTTTATAGATGAAACACTACCTGGGTAGGGTGGTCAGTCTGGGTTGTGACAGTTTGGGAAACTGCATTTGGGGGCACTGCATCAGAGGCTGAAGAGAACCCAACACCTGACGGCTGCTTATCCGAAGAGGCATCCTTGGAATTCCCCAAAGTTGCATTTCCTAGTTCAGCACCAGCAGATGACTCCTGGTTGTTACAGAACTGGGACTTCTGCGGCAGCTCACTAGCCTGCTCAACTCTCTCCTGTTTCACCGAATTCATTGGTTGGAAAGGGGCAGGATTCTGGTCTTTATTTGTTGACGTCTGCCAAGGAACTGAACTTTGTTGCAATGCTGGCTTGCTTGGATAAGGGGATAGAGGACCACTCTGCGCTCTATTGGACTCAACAGCTGGACCTTGCCTCTCCAATTTGGGCACGTTGAGGGAGCTCATTGCCTGGGTGGATGTTCCCACCTGAGTGGTAGCTGCCCCTTGATGATGAATCTGCCTCATTTGTAGTTCTGAAGGCTGTGGCTTCATAGATGTGCCTCCTGAACCAGAATATGTGGGATAATTACTCCCAGCTCCTCCATACATAGGGAAAGATGTCTGTGGGAAGTGTAAATGTTGTTGCTGCTGCTTATTGTGTCCTTGTGTTGAAATTGAAGTGCCATCTCTCTCTGGATTGGCAATGGGTGAAGACATTTGACTGAAGTTAACTGCACGGGAATCCACCTGTCGGGAATTAGGAGTACTCGTTCCAGCAAGAGCATGAGTTGAATTATCAGCCTGCAGTTTGACTGACGGATGACCATTGTAAGTTGGGTCGGTGGAAGAGCTTGATCCCTTTTGATGAAGTGCAAATGGATTGGAATCACCAAGTTGAGAAGAACCGGGACTGATAGGCATCCTAGTATTTGGTTGACGGGCTAAAGCTTGGGAGTGTAACTGAGATTGGTTGGTTCCTTGCTGCAATTCAGGGGGGAAAACTGGTGTTTATCTGATTTCCACCAAGACATGTTCTGACTTTCATAAAAAAAATTCATACCTGCTCTTGCCACTGATTTACTGCCAATTTTAGCACTTGATCCCCAACAATATTCCTCATATGCCTGACGAACTGATCTTTTGGGATCTCATTTTTCTATAAGAAAAATGTGGCAGAAAACTTGAGAGAATGGACAAGAAACAAAGAGCGAGAAAAGACATTCAAGACAGATACCCACCCTTAGTTTAGTGAAGATAGTCTGAAGCTGCATCTCCCTGTCTTTATCAAGATGGGGTCTTAAAGTAGGCAGCAACAGCACAAATGGTATTTGCTGACCCTGATACCTTGAGTTAACAGTCTGTTCCATGGATGTCTGTGGGGGCATCCTTAAGAATTGGGATTTACCAATGGGGTTCGGCAACCTAACAGGCTCAGATACTGAAGCAGGACTTTTATCAGAAATCGTCGCCCCACTTGTCTGGGGAGCTTGAACGGCAGCATGTTCCACCTTAACCTGTTGAAGCTCGTCTTGGGGTTGGTTCTTATGCAAAGCAAGGGGATTTTGTCCCCGCGGCACATTATTAAGTTGCTGCTGTTTCTCAGCTACAGATGATCGTTGATCGATCATCATAGGCGATTGATGTTGTTGTTGTTGTTGCTGCTGTTGATGTGATAATTGTTGTTGATGCGATAAATTATGTGGCCCCTGGTTGCTTGAGCCAGACGGAACTCGATCTTGTCCCATTGATGGCCAACTTTGAAATTGCTGAGAGGAACCTCGGTTGCTTTCGCTTGGAAAAACTGCCACTTTATCAGTCCAAACATCATAACGATGGCTAAACTGAAGCTATAGTGGACAAAGAAGGCCATACTAGACCACTTAGTATCCTACTCCACTTATTTTCCCCCAACTCCATAGAGCAAAATTCCACTAACACTAAATGCAGTTAGCTAAGACTAGTAAGCAAACCCCTTCAACCCACCTGAGAAGCCCCTCCCAAGATCTCTCAAAAAAACATTCAACCGTTCCCGATTCCAAAACCTCAACTCCAGAAAAAAAATCGTCAACTGTGAAATTCAAATGGGAATTACCCGTATTATGAGCTTGATTCTGAGAATTGGAAGCGTGGCCTTCAATGTCCCTATTGAGAGCTGCCTGGAAAGCCTCGACGTCGGCACCCGAATGCATCGTCTCATCCTGTGAACAAAGCACCAAGCAAATTTCGAAACTTAGATGAAGATCAAATCGGCTCTCACAAATTCACAACCAAGCAGCAGGCGAAAAATGGGAAGCAGAAGCCTTACCTCGTCTTCCTCGAGGAGTTTCATTATTGAAGGATCCATGAATGGCCGGCCTGTATACTATCTATATATTCACAGGCCAAAAACTGGCTCTGAGCTCAGTCTGGGAATAAAAATGTCGGCGTCGGCAAAGAAGAAGAACGGAAACTAGTATATCCAGAGAGAGCAACAACAATTTCCGCCAAAAGCTTAGAAAATCAACGACGGAATTTTAGTTCTTTCATGAACGCGATGGAGAAGAAGGCTTCCAATCACGCAGATTCAGAAATCAGAACATCTGATTTTATTCTACAATTAAAAAAGAACATCTGTATTGATCACTTTACTTATAGAGACCCCGGATGGGCCAGAATAATTAAAGCCCAATATCCCTAATTATAAAGAACCACGTTATAAAGGGCCAGTGGGAAGCCCACATTGGAGTGCTCATTTACTGGGCCAATGCTACAGTGACGCAGTAAAAAGTGCGGCACAGGTAACGCGGTTTTTTATTGGTCCACGTGAAATTGACGTGGCATTGGTCGACTGCATTGAACCACAGCTCAAACCTGATGATCATAGACCGGGCCAAACCGTTATTTTCCCAAACAGACGGAGAATTCTTTGTTTCCTGTCTTCTAGCGTCTGTTATTCTCCAAGAACAAAAAAGCAGAAAAAATGAAACCCAAAATATAGCGTTTGTTCCTCCCTCTCCCTCTCCGGCAGACTGTCACCAGCTCTTTGCCTCCGGTTGATCTCTGGTCCCTACCAAATGCCTCCACTGAATGCCGTTCGTTGTATTCCTTCTTGATTCTGTAAAACAGGTACGACGAATCCCTCGTTTTGACCGGACCTCTGGGTCCGTCTAAGTACTGTTCTGTCACCACCGTATTGAACGATCAAATACAACTTATAAGGCAATTACCCACTCTCTGCGTCGTCCCCCTCGGTTTGCGCCTTCCCTGTTGGAATCGTACGAGTTGAAGTCGAAGTTCATTGAGGTGCTTAGGTATTCTCCGCAAGGACTGCAAAAGCTTTGAGGTAATTCGAATCATTTGTATATTAAGAAACTAGGAGGCTAGGACAGTGATTGGGATTGTTTTGCTCCTGCAGTTTTGGTAGTCCCTTTTGCTTCTAAAGTAATTAGTCAGGGACGGTGCAATGGCAGCCCAATTTTCATTTTATTCTTTTTTCCTGTGTCTATCTGTGTTTGCCGAGCAGCAGGGTATTTGTTTGATTTCCATGTCCAATATGTGTTTGGTGTCTAAAGCAGCTTCGCGCTGATGGCTCTAGTTCATCAAGCAGTCAATGTATCATTGAGAGCTGAAACATCTAGCTGAAGTGGCTAATCAACGTGAGTTGAGTGCAACTTCGTGCAAACTAACTCCGTGTAGTTGTTACTTTTAGTATAAGGTTACTGATACCTTAGCTTAGTATATGACACCCATTCTTTCTGTTGTACGGACCAGAACTCTCAATGTTTGCAGAAGCAGGAGTGAAGACTTGATTTCTCCAGGAAAGGTTCGTTAGCTAGCTAGCTCAGATTCTATAGATGCAGAGTCTGCTCCTGCTGCTAGGCTGCTGCTGCTTCTGCGAGGTTACTGCTGTTGCTGCTGTGTTAAGCTTCTATTCCTTGTCTCTTGTGTCCAGTTTGCTCCAAGAAGTGTCCTTGTGTTGGTTCTCTTGTTCTTTGCTTTCACAGATGGGATTGTACAAGTTTCCAGACTGTATGTTGTAATATCTTACTAATAGATATGTATGCCATGGAAACATGTAAACTTGAATTAAACCACGAGCAAAGTAGTAAAATTTCATTGACCGTAAATATATATTCATTGTCTTTCCTTTTCTATTGACATAAATTCAAACACAACAGTTTGGCAATGAATTCACTATTCAATTTCTCTTCCAAAATGGAACTATGAATCCTCAAATCAACTTGCAGTCACATCACAATGGAAGTAAGCTATGGTTGCGAAGAATGTAAGTTATCAACAAAAAATCAATTAATGTGGCTTGAATGATGGAATTCTCCTATTGACGGTAATCTACAGTTAAGGAATCAGAATCTACAGAAAGATAAGCTTCACTCTTTTTCCAGTTTCAGCCTCTTTCCAGCTTTTGAAGCACTGTGGAGAGATGAACTTCAGACTTCCCAATTGCTGCATTGATGCTATCTCCCACAGCCGATTTCAACTTCTAGTTTTAACAGAAACAGGACCCCTAGCATTCCACAAAATGATGAAAGAGAGCGAGAAGAGACATCAACTTTTGTTGACCAAAGCCTGCTTAAAAAAGGTGAGTTGGATTGATGGAATGAATGAACTTACTGCAAAGCCATTGTCCATGTATTTACAAAGTATAACTATACAAAGTCCAACTTTATGGAATTCTATTAGTACAAAGTATTTGACTTGTACATTACATCTCATTATACAACAGAAACACATTTGTAAACTAAGCAGAAGACATGCCTAATTTGGGTTAAAGTCACAAACACCAAAATCCTCCATTCGTTCCCTTGACTATTCTCATAGGTATACTGAACAATATTGTGTCCCCCTGAAAAGCCTTCTTTGCTCTGGAGCTGAAGAAGCATCAACTCCTAGCCATTTACCAGCCATTCCTGGACCATATCAATAACGCGAAACAAAAAAACATTAAGGCTTTAGATAACTTCAGCTATCCACTTCACTACGAAAGAAGACTTACAGAAGCTTAAAAACAATCCAAGAAGACTTCACTGAGCACGTTTAACTTCGGAGTTCTCACAAGAACTCCTCCATTTCACCCCAAAACGCGTATTGTCAGTTTAGGTTGGTTTTTTATTTATGAACCATGGATCTCTCCCGTACTTTGTCGATGTGGGATTCGCCTAATGTGTTACATACACCCCCTTGGTACTCAACGCCCTCGTTGAGGTTTTCCCCACCATTGTTTAAGAGGGACGCGGAGAGGCTCTAATACCACTTGTAACATCCCGAACCTTTTTCCGACAAGATATTGTCCGTTTTGGTCTGACCTGTTCCTGACTCTGTCTGACCCATCCCTGAAGGGTCAAGATATATAACTGATTGTTTCGTCTCTATCCCCATCTTGACCCTATCTGACCCTCAATGAGAAGAGTGATGATGCCAAGTTTGACATCTTGAGTTGGTGGTCTCGACACTTTGGAACATATCCGATTCTTGCCGAGATGGCTATGGATATCCTAGTTGTTAAAGTCTCTTCTGTTGCCTCAGAGGCAACCTTCAGCTGTGGCGGTCGGATTCTCAGTCCATTCAGGTCTTATTTGAGTGATATCATGTTGGAGGCATTGATTTGTGTGGAGGATTGGATAAAGTATCAAACTACCGGGGCCGGAGATAATGACGATAGGGAAGATGATGAAGAGATCATGGATTTGGAAAGCGGTAAGTTCTAAAACTCTTTTAATTATTGTTTGTTCAAGTGAATACCACTTTCCAGTCTAGAATGGAAAGTGCAAGTGATGTTGGCAATGTTGCCAATGCAGATGCAAGTCAGAACATTCCAGATGGGAATGAGCAGGAGGGTGAAGAAAATGTGTCGGAGGAAGAATATGAGAAAGATGGATATGACGATGTTGGTCATGACCTCTTGCCGCAACTGAAAGAAAAGGGTTATGTAGATGTTGGTTCTTTTTCGGTTGATAAGTGATGATTTCGTGGTGACTTGTAATTTGTGACTTTATGAAGTTTATGACTTTATGTTCTAGCATTTGAGACATTAATTTGGTGATTTAAATCTATTTTCTATGCAAAAATGATTGAAACTTGACTTGTGGAGTGATTTAGATGTAGAAATGTAGGGCTGAACGTTTAATTTTAGGCAATTTTAGCGATCTTGTTTGTATAGGGGCGTTGTCCGGTTCGGTTACTCGTTTAAAACCGGTTTGGATTATGTGTTGCGGTTATCTCGGTTAATCGAGCAGCTAACCGGTAACCGACCGGTCGGTTGCCGGCTAACCGATGGTTTCCGTCGGGCGGTTGGGGATAGAGGCTGTTGTCGACGCGGTTAACCGGTAACCGACATTTCGGTTATCGGTTATAACCGATCTAACCGAAAATCCAGCCCTAATTTAAACCTTTCTTCTAAATTGGAGGGAAAACTTTTCCTATCTTTTTTTTCAATTATTTTCCTTTTTCTTTTCATGCCTAATAATATTGAAGCAAGTAGAAGATGATGAATGTTCTTTTCCACAGTAAGCTTATTTATTTTATTTTTAATTTATCATTAAATTTTTAAATATTTTTTGAATTCCAATTCTTATGCTTGGTATAATTCCATCAATATAGGGAATGAATTATATATTTTTGTGCAAATTATATTTATAAGTAAAAGGTATGAGTTGTGGGTCCCATAAAGTTCCTGTTTGAGAGAAAAAAGAAACATAATTGCAAGCTTTTTGGGACTTATACATCATTAAAGAGTTAATTGCATGGTTGGTCAATTGAGATTACAAAAAACGTTCAAGTTTGGTCACTCAAAATATTTAAATCTATTGATGGTACTTCAGTTTACGCAAACCGTTCGCGTTTGGTCACTCTCCGTCCAACTCTGTTAACTTTGGCTGATGTGACAGTCAACTCTCAAAGTTGACCATTAACTTAGTGACGTGGCAACTAAAAAATTATTAAAAATAAAAAAATAAATTTTAATATTTTCCACCTAATTATTACATTCATTAAAAAATAAAAAAATAAAAACCTAATTTCTTTTCTACAAACCCACATACCCTACCCGACCCAACCTCCACTACCCGCAAAATCCGACCACCGTAGCAACCCTAATTTCTTTTCTACACCCGCGATTTCAGTAGCAGGATCGTCTACAATAGCAACTTTGATCTCTACACCGAACCGACTGCCAATTGGAGGGACACAGTCTCTTTTAACATGGCTCCCGACCCACTCAATTCCATGTTTTTGTTTCCCTGGACCCAATTCCACGTTTGACTTATATGTCTAATCTTGTCTTTGCTCTGCTCTGGAACCTTAAACAGAGAACGATGATCAAACCTTTTTCACTTCTCCCTTCCATTTTAAATACCCACCTAGCTAGCTTTTCTTGATTACAGTCCACCATCCCAACAGTCTCTGCCTCTTTCACTCTCTCAATTGGGTTCTCCGAAAAATGACGACTTTCTTTTCGTTGGAGTTGATACTGAGGCTGCTTCGAACTCAGTGATGATCTTCTTCTTCTGCAATTTGATCATCGTCACCATCCTTGTTGCCAGTGGCGGAGCCACTTGGAGAGGAGGGGGTGCTTTGCACCCCCCTTGGGTTTGGAGAAAAAATTTCCGAGTAGGGGTATATACAAATTCGAACCAATGACCATTCAGTTGCCGGAAGAATTTCTTATCATTTCGATCGAGTGAGTTTTGTTATGTAATGCACTTTCGTCTTTATTTATAGTAATAAATTGTTGTCTTTTGTTTAAACTCGCTCATTTTTTTTTTTTTTTTTTTGTAGCTCTACAACAGAGAAATTTCTTGTCTTTTGTTTAAACAAAGTTGAAAGTGAAGAAGTACCAATTGAAGTTCACTTGTTTGTTTCACAAAATCAATTCCAAGGTACTTCTCAGTTCTAATTTGTAATATTTGATGAATGGAAGTCTTGATTTGTATGTACTGAACTTATTTGTTTGACGTTGTAACCAGTGTACGTGAAACTATTTTAATGTAATTGTGTGAATTTAGAGTATTGCGTTGTTGACTTTTTGTTTAATTTAAAGTTGACTTTTCTATTGTATAGGTGATTTTTTATGATATGATAAAGACACCCCCTTGGCCAATTTCCTGGCTCCGCCACTGCTCGTTGCCTCATCAACATCTCCTTCGACGATGACCGGAATGCACCACGTGTCGATGGCGGGAAGTCTCTACTCCTACGTGACTATTCACCAGCAGGAGGAGACTCTAGTTCTTGACGGTGGAAATGATGTTCTGCTTCCCAGTGATGAAAACAGAGCATCTTGGTCCTCGGAACCTAAGTTGGCCGCATTGGCAACAACTGCTCACCAAGACGAAGAAAAAGAAGAGGAAGAAACTAGAGGAGGAAGAAGCTAGAGCAGCTTCCAATTTCACCACTTCCTCAGAGTACTCGGTCACGATTTCGCCGCACACGGTCGGCAGTTGCTCGGGATTGAGTGGGTCGGGAGCCATGTTGAAAGAAACTGTGTCCCTCCAATTGCCAGCCGGTCCGGTGTAGAGATCGAAGTTGCTATTATAGACGACCCTGCTGCCGAAATCGCGGGTGTAGAAAAGAAATTAGGGTTGCTACGGTTGTCGGATTTTGCGGCGGCGGTGGAGGTTGGGTCGGGTAGGGTATAGGGATTTGTAGAAAAGAAATTAGGTTTTTATTTTTTAATGAATGTAATAATGAGGTGGAAAATATTAAAAATTATTTTTTAATTTTTAATAATTTTTTAGTTGCCACGTTACTAAATTAACGGTCAACTTTGAGAGTTAACTACCACATCAGCCAAAGTTAACGAAGTTGGACGGAGAGTGACCAAACGCGAACGGTTTGCGTAAACTGAAGTATCATCAATGGATTTAAATATTTCGAGTGACCAAACTTGAACGTTTTTTGTAATCTCAGTGACCAACCAAGCAATTAACCCCATCATTAAAGCAATGAGTCCCATAAATTCCTATTCTTTTGTGGGCAAGTCCGACCAATTTCAGTCGGATTTCAATTTCCAGAGTTTTGGCGGAAATGATTTCCACTTCCAACAAAATTTATCATCCAAACATAAGAATTGATTCAAAAGTAGGAAATGGAATTCCATTTCCCATAAATTTTATGTTCCAAACAGGCTGTAACGGAATTACAACAGATGCTGACTGGATTAACATTTTTGATGATGTGTCAACTTTCTATCAAAATCTTTAACACGTGGAAATCTTCCTTTTCATTACAATTAATTAGAAAAAACAAAAACAAAATTAAAATGAGGGAGTCAGGGACAAGACTCATCCCCCACTTCTTTCTCCGCACCATTCTCGTAGCTCCCCCGAGCTCCGGCGCTGCCTTATCACACCATTCCATCCGCCACTCCATCCACCTATTTTCTCCATTTGCCGTTCCCTTCTCCTCCTCTCTTTCATCCCTGTTCTATCTCGCCGTAATAAAAAATACGGAAACCTCTTCCTTCCTCTGGGAACGAGGTTGAAGACGAACCCCCTCGACATAATCGTTCATGAACAATCCAGATCGCGGCTCATCTCGTCCGAACCTTCAATACAATCGGGTTCCCAGACATCTTCAGTCTTCCCTAACCAATTTCGTCGCCGCCGTTAAAATCCCCAATTCCGATCAACCTAATTTTTGTCCCCGATTTCAGTTTCTCTTTAAATCTCCCTAGTTTGTCGAGTGAGGGAAAGGTTTCCAGATCCATTCCCAGCTCATTCGAGTGGTAACAGGATTATTGAATGAAATATTGGTGTATTAGGTTGTGGAGGACGCCAGAGAAGCTAATATTGAATGAAATATTGGCTTAAGCTATGGTCTAGGATAGTGGGGAGTGTAAGGATCTGTCCCCAATGTCGTCGCTGCTACGCCATCACAGATTGGACGCTCCCGCTGCTGCCGTCGTTGGTATTATTGAGCACGAGCTCGCAGGTGAGGGTTAGCCAGATATGAAGGAATAAATCCCCAAACCCTCGGCCTCGACCTTGTCCTTGTTTCCTCTTGTCTCCGTCGACCTTGCCCCTGTTCTCGCAGGTCAGATCACTCACTTGACAAAATTCAATTGGCTGACCTAACTCTCATCTCCGTGGCACGCGCGCTTGCTCGGCCACCCATTGCTCCACGACTCAGCCAACATGAGCTTCACCGACCAGGAGCTTCGATCCCAGTCGTCATCGTTGACATCGAATGTAGCGGTGTAGAAAAACCCTCATCGTTGACCGTCGCAACGTGTAGCGGTGGCTGGAGGAGACAAAGCCTGCGTGTCTAATAATAATTAATTAAAATGTCAATCATAAATTTGAAATATGATGTGGCGTACATATGGCTTGAAATAATGACTTGGTGTTTACGTGGATGCAGAGGTGGCATCCACATCAGTATAACGTCTATGGTACTAGCAAAAGTGTGGCCATTTTCATGTATTTTTCAAAATTTGGCTTTTCAAAATTTGACTATTATTATAAAAAATGCAAACTTTTGGCTATGCATCTTTATTTTGCCTTTCTAAATCTAACTTTTATTTTTGCATTTTTTCTTTGTTTAGTTTCTTCCTTTACCGGTTATGAAACATAAAAACTAGACAAAATACACATGGATAGCCATACCTTTGCACATTGTGACAATAATAGCCAAATTTTGGAAAATACGCTAAAATAGCCAATTCGTCCACAACTTTAACGGTGCAATAATACATACTGACTGGGCTAACGATTTCTGATGACCTGTCAAATTTTTCTGTTGAATTTTCCAAGTTGGCAATTCTAATTTTTATTGTGATTAACTAAAAGGGGTGGGGGGAATAAAAAATAATGAAAATTGATTAACTTTCTTTTATCACCGTCCCTTTCTTTACCTTTCCTTCCCCACCGCCGTTTAATTCTCCATCTCCGTAATCAAAATCCAAAACCCAACAGTGGTTCATCACCGTCCTTCGTCGCTAGCACTTTAAAGCTACTCAAAACCGGCGCTATCACCCTTTTCATTTGCAGGAAGGCCACATCGATCGAATCGTCTGATGAGTTGAGAGTGAATCCAGAGTTACGGCCGCGGCCTCAAAATCCTTCTTCACCTCCAGAGTGAATCCACAGCTCCCCGAACAATCCTACCCGCCGGCCGGCCTCTTACACCTTGCTGACCAACCTATCCGGTGGCGTCGTTTGCAACTTCCAGATCTTACACAGCCACTGCCATTTCTTCCCTTATTCTTATGTGTTGCTGAACCCCTTCATTGCCATCGTTCATTGACAACCCATATTGTGATTCCAAATCCATAACCAAGATCGTGGAAGACGAGGCGGCGAGACTCGGAGGAGAACCAGGATGGAACTCTAGATTTCAGATCTCGATGGTAGACGTTGCGGCTGTGGCAGAATCGATGGTGGAGATCAGTTGTTGGAAGTAAACTCTGGTGACGTCATCTCTCAACCAGCCTCTCTCGATCTTGGAGAAAATCTCGCCGCCGCGGACGAGCTCCATGGCGATTTTGATCTTTCACTTGCTCGCCATCACTTCGTGGAGCTTGACGATGTTGGGGTGCTTCATCATCTTCATCGCCATGCTCTTCCCAGAATGGATGTTCTGCGAGCGGGTTTCCCAAAAGAAAGGACAAACAGAGAGATTGAAGGATGAAGAGATTGAGGATTGAGGGAAGGAAGAATGAAAGTAAAATCCCTCTTTGGCTAATTAGGGATTTTATGGCTGAGGGGATTCTTTTCGTTGGCGGCGGTGGCGAGGGGAGAAGGAGGGAGAGTTTCTCGGTTTGGGGATTGACAAATTCTAGGGTTTGGGAACCACCATTGAAGGGGCAGAGCTCTAAGCTCTGATTTTCCGGCGAGGACGAGCAAAAACGAAGGCAGGAGAAGATGAAGAAAGGAAATGGGGAGGCTGGGTGGACATGATGTGGCGGTCAGGTGGCAGCCACATCAGCATAACATTCAATTAACGGATGGAGTTATTAACGCTGTTAAAGTATTTGACGGGAATGGCTAAATTAGTCAAACAAGTTTAAAAAGTATGGCTATAATTGTGTATTTTTCAAAATTTGGCTATTATTGTCACAAAGTGTGAATTTTTTACTATACAAGTGTATTTTGCCTAAAAACTATTCTTCACTTATATAAACTTCAAAATTAATGAAATTACTTGATTACTAAATATGATATATGAGACAAACTCTTCCGTGTTAACAAAATATTAGCTAAACCCATGAAAATATAACCTATTAGTCAAATTCTTTTATATAATAAACGAGCATCACAACATCAAAAGTGTGTTCTACTCATACTTGATCCAAAACTCTTCAACATCAATTTCACTCTTTTTTTACCTATTCAATCACATAATTAATTGTTATGATTCACACATAAGTTATTTTACTTGATAGGTAAAATTATTACGTGAGACGTAAAACTGCATTACATTCCAAGTAACCCTAACTCATCTAGTCGTGGTATATAGTTTCTCTAACGACTGAGTTAACCCTAGCTCATCTAGCCGCCGCCTTCATTCCTACCATTCCCCCCAAATGAAAGAAACCCTAATTCCTTCTTTCTCTCCGCCTCTCTGGCGATAAGATCGCAAAAAGATCTCGGTTCAACAGATTTTCTCCTAATCCCCTTGTCATCTGTCTTCAATTCCTCCAATCAAATGGCAAGAGGATCTCGTTGACCACAGACCAGAAAAGAGTCATTAGGAGTTGAATTATGCTCCCAAATCGTTGATTCTTCGTTAACAGATAAAGAACATCTTTCTTTCTTTTATTTTCATTTGATTTTCGAAGTTAGACCCAAAATATGAACTGACTCTTCTACTGCTATATACAGGGGGAATTTCCTAGCGAGTGTTCAACCTTCGTCTCTCATCATCTGGCCATCTTCTAATATCCAGAACACCCCATTCCCCAGAGAGCAGAGATGAGACTCGAGACCGAGTTCTTCTGGGTAAGGTCTTGACTAGGGATGGCAAAAATATTCGTAACCATGGATATCCGCCCGAATCCGAAAGAATTTTAGTGGGTACGGGTAAAACCCGAACCCGAATATTGCGGGTAATGGGTGTGTATGGTTTTCTCACTATCCAACCCGAACCCGCCCGATTATACACATTCATATATATTTTTTCTAGAAATAATCAATGTTTTTCTCTAAAATATTTTATATCTAGCATATAAATATAATATTTTCATGAAATTGTGTTGGTTTAATTAATTTTCTTCATTCTAGTGAATCATTGTCGTACTTTTCGTCTTACGTACACATGAGAATACGTGTGAATATTAACATATTGGTTAGAGTTATAAAGAAAAACTATTACCCATGGATAACCGTGGATACCCGAAACCCGAACGGGTATGAGCATGGTTTGGATTTTCTACCCGTTTCTTATGTGGGTATGGGTATGGGCAAAACCAGAACTATTTTGGGTAGGGTAACGGATATTCACTATCCGTCCCCGACCCGACCAATTGCCATCCCTAGTCTTGACTTCTTGTGTTCTTTTCCTGGGTTCATGGTGTCAATATGGACATGCATGCATGGATGCAGTACTAACTAGTTTTGTTTGTTGTTCATTCCTTTTTTTACTTTTGTAGACTCGGTTTAATTCGATCTTGGAGGATTGAAGATCAAGGGAGCAATCGACTGACGACTGTCACTGTGTGCTCGACATTCTTTAGAAGACTCGTTAAGTTGTTCAGAAGGTAATCTCGTTGGGGTCTTGATGTTGTTTTTTTGGTTTAGTGGTGTCCGAAGAGACATGTATGGATGGAGATTTCTAACTAGATTTTGTGTTTGTTTTTTGTTCTTGTCCATTTTTTTTTTTTTTGTGTGTGTTTATAGAGACCTTTGCAATAGATCCTCAAGGACTGCAAACAATCTACAAACAATCTCAAGGTAATCCACTTCTCCTTTCATAACCTTGGTGTCTTGCTTGCGTAGTTGTGTGACTTCTTGAGTTGCTGTGTTTAAGATACACTTTGGGCTACGTTTCTCACCACTTGAAAAACTAACCGGGCCAGAGTGAGGCGGTTCCTTGGTTTCCATAAAGCCCACTTCGGAAGAAAGCACCGAGACCAATTCTATTGAGATCCATCCTTATCACCCAAACCCTCTCACTATATAATCGAAACAAAGAGCCAAGCTCGCACTTCTAAGCTGCAGATTAGGGTTTTCTTGTTTCTCCCCAGCTTTCCAGCTAAAACACAGAGCGGCGCTGCAGTTTTCTCCGGCGAGAAAAGCAATCATGGGCCACCAGAACGTCTGGAATTCTCACCCCAAGACCTACGGTCCTGGATCCAGGGCTTGGTGAGTCTTTTCTTCTCTCTCTCATGAGTTCCTTCTTGTGTCAGGCTTTTCTCTGATTTCCGTTCATCTATGACCGAATGGTTTATGGATCCGTATCTGCTTCGTTTATAGCCGTTGCGGCTTTTCGAATGGGGTTTTGTCGCTGGTCATTAGGGTTCCCGTCGATGTTGCCTTGTTTTGATTCTTTAGTAAATCGAACTCAAATTTGCTTTGTAGAACTTGTGTCTTTGTTTAATTTCCTGATATGGGTCTGATTCTTAATGTTCGTGGAAATGTATGCTGTAACCTGCTATCTCCGGTCCCAGAGAACCTGCGTTTTAGGGATGTTAGCCTTACCTCATTCCATTTTGTATGATGACTTTGCGTCTTGACCCTTTTTGGTATATGGCTTGGTCTATGTTGTAATCAGTTTTTTCACTCCTGTTGAATTTCTGTTCTGTATTGGGGGCACTATTGGTGCTTCTTCTACCATTTACATTATAGAAAGTCTAGATTGACAATTTAGTGAATTTGCTTTGAATAACGTTTAGTGAATTTCCTTTCTGGATTGGGTTTAGCTTGATGAAACCATTTCTAACTCTGTTACCATGTTGTGGCCTTGTGGCAGCCGTGTGTGTGGCAACCCTCATGCAATCATCAGGAAGTACGGGCTCATGTGCTGCAGGCAGTGCTTCCGCAGCAACGCTAAGGAGATTGGTTTCATTAAGGTAAAAAACAGAAGCCTTCAAAAAATTTGATGGATTATTTGCTGTTTTCTCAGTTCATGTTTTTCCTTTCTTAGTCATTAGTGAAGAGTACTTTATTGTTTCTTGCCCGTTGTTTCATCATCCTACTGAACCCTAGCGGTCTAATGTTTCCTCCTTTCTTACCAGTATCGCTAAATGGAATTGGAGCATTTTTGTTGCTGGATGGGTTTCTTGACAGAGCTTGCTGGCAATGGAGATGCTGACTCTTGATAGTAATCTACTTTCAGTTTTATGTGGTGTAATCCAGAGGACATGAAAGATTTTGATAATTTTGATTTGTTATGATATTGTTGGAATTAGATTGCTACTTGTCATGAGTGATATTTAAGTGAAGCATCGTTGTTGGATATGTTTTGGTGCCGTCTCTTCGTGGCTTTGAAATCGTTAGTGTCATGTGGATGTGGTAGAGATGTTGTGTGCTTTGAAAGTAGATCATGTATCGAGTTGGGTGCTCATTTTTTAAACCCAAGTGGGCTTTCAGGTAGTGCAATCCAATAGACCTGCAGTTGGCCAGAATCAGTTGTTCCAAAAACAAAAACAGTGCATAAGCTTCCAGTGAAGCAAACCTGTACACTAGACTCCCACCAGAAACCAGTCCACTCTCAAACATGCAACTTCGTAAACTCCAATGGCAAAAACTTAAAGGACCAGCTTTATCAATCCTTGAACGTTATACTCCACACACTGAACATATTCAAACCCGATGGCCTATCAGCCATGCTTGGTCGTTGAAACCTGGTGGCCTATCAATGACATGTTTTTGGCATTTGACACATATGTGTCCATTGAGTATTGATGACATTTGCAGAAACATATGATGAATTGTTATCTCTTTACCTCCCTCCCCTGCCTCTCATTTTACCTAGGGTTCATCTCTTGAGATGTCAGATCACGCACGGGGTGTTAAATGCTGCTGCCATGGGGAACCCTCAACACAGGTCGTGTCTCAGCAACAAGAGATTACTCATTACTTTCGCTACAGTCGGCACTCTCTGCTGCTAACAGTAGTCAGTAAGAAAGCAGAGGTGGAGGAGAGGAGAAGAAAGTGGGAGAGATGGGGTGGCTCGAAAATCTACCGCCAATTGCCATCATTCTTGGGGTTTGCTGTCGAGTTCTTGCATTAAACACAACCCTCCATGCTTGCCTCCACTCCAACCATTTACTACCTAGCATCCACCCACACATGGCTTTCCTTTTCCTTTCACTTATTCATTAAATATATTACCATCATCATCATCATCATCATTCACTCATCCCAGCTGAGCAGCTCCATTTCAGAGCTCATGGGCATCATTTAGTCTCCTTGCTGCCCAAGCTCTACTTCTCTTCTTCAGTTCTTCTTACTCCATCAATCTGTTTCTGTATCTATATATGGATTTCCCGGTCTGACTTTTGGCATTCCTTATTCCTTACTGTCCATACCACTAGTTTGGTTAGGCTGACGACACTGCTTGCCGGCGCTTGAAAAAAGAAAAAAGAGAGAGCTTCCCAATCCCTCCTTTGTTTACATTTTGTTCTGTGGCGATGAAGAGGAATACTGGGAACTGGGTAGTGTACTTATTGTTGGTGGTTGGGATGGCTTTAATGCTACTACAACTTAACTCATCTGCATGCATCACCGCAGCTAGCTTACCTATTCCTGGTATGCCTTCTTCCATCTCCTACTCTTCTTCCCATGTCTTCTTGTTTGTTGTCCGTTCCATTCTTTGCCCTGTTTGGGTTTCAATCACTGATTTCCTTGTGCTATACATTTTAATTTTTATACTTCCAGCCCTTTGGCGAGGGAAAACGTCCATTACATGGTTATGGTTTCACTGTGTATTACTTCTGAATGGATCTACAGAGTTCATTACTTCTGAAGAAACCCGCATGTTTATTCATGCTGCCACTGCCATGGCCATTATCGTATTAAATGAAGCAGAAAGAGGAGACATCAGATCTCTGTGCATATGGAAATTTGGATGAATGAATTAATGGTAGCAAGTTATCAACCAATGCCATCAAAATCATGTATTTCTTTTGTCTGTTCGTATTCATGGCTGTCAGAAGCAGCCTTGGGCGTGCACACTGACACGACGGTGGTGGGAGCAGAAGGAGAAGCAGCAATTAGCAGCAGGAAGCTTCAGGTATTATTATATTCACATACTACATTACAGGATTTGGAAGGAATGAAATGATTTTAGAAAAGTTTACTCGCAGGAGCATTGGAAATCCGAGCAGCAGCAGGAGGCAGAAGAAGAAGAAGAAGAAGCAGGGGATGTTGGGCTGCAGGATTACAGGCCGATAGATCCAGTGCCAAGCTCAAAGGCGGCAGTGAAACCAGGCCCAATCGAACATGGGACTCCACTCAACCCATTCATCCCCAGAAGCCCGCCTCCTGCCCCTCCTCCTTATTCTTACTGATTTAAGTGATTAGCTCCCTCTACAACTTTTGATTGCTGCTTAATTATGTTCGTATTATTGTGATAATTATTAGATACTAGCTTATTACCCGGCCCGTTGGCCGGATTACTGTATGTTACCCACTTGTGGAATGGGAGAGAAAGCAAGTGAGAGTGAAGGGATTGTGATTCCACTTGATTAGGACCGACCCACTAATCTGATTCTTCCCGACCCGCCCCAACCTAAAGGGTCAGAAAGAGTCAATAAGAAAATACGAACAGAGAGAATTAGTAATATATCTTGACTCTTCAGAAGTGGGTCAAACAGGATCAATGTTGGGTGAGGGCAATTTTTAGCGCTAAGCAGAGTTCTGGGTTGAATAACTTTACTTAGTCCTAGAAATTGGTGCTGATGCAGACTGCAGTTTTTATCATACCATCATCAATCATCGTTGAATTAGTCCTAGGCATCCCTCCCCGTTGTCGGTCTGAATTTTAATGATGGCTTCATTCCTTGCACCAGCCATATCGGCGAGTTGTCATCTCGAGCATGATTTGCCTATGTACAAATGATACAATTAGAGTATGAAACTGATATCAAAGAAAAGGAAAAGAGAATTCTATCACATGCCAATAAATACACACATAATAGTTGAAGCTAAGTGAAAGTCATTACTCACACATCAATTCTTAAAAATTACAGACTAAACAATTGCTAGAATGGCACTGAAACTACCAAAAATCATGGACGAAACAACTTGTCAAATTAAATAATCCTTATACTGAAACTACCTTCTAACTTGAAATAATACATGATCACAGTTCATAGCACTCTTATCACTATGAATTGGTTGCAGCTCGTCCTTATCACTACCTCCCAAGCTCAATTCAAACAGAATAGACACAGTTATGTAAGATAACCATATCCTTACTGATCATAATTCCTTTCTTCACTCCATTTTTGTAGGAGAAAAGAGTTATCCCCCTCTCATGCATTTCCCTTTCCCCCTCTCTTCTCCCTCTTCTTCACAAACCGATCCCTAAACCAGCAACAACAACACAAAAATAGCCTTCGCCTCTGCCATCTCCATCTATTGAACGCGTTGGTGGCAAGACAGGACTGCAGAAGCAAAATTTTCTAAAATCAAACTAAATTTTTTGAAGGATACTCAACCACGAAAAAAGAGTAAAGCAACAATGCTCATAGTTCAGATGGTTGGTTTTGATGTTATACGTTGCTTTTGTTCTGGTCTCCAGTGTATCAACTGCAACAGAGATGTTTCCTCCAATCATCTTTAGTGCACGATTTAGAAGTAAGTCCTCTTGTTTGTGTCAAACGGAAATATTCATGGGTTCGTAACTCCCCTGTTAGTGTAAATGCAGCAGCAGCAAAGAAGTTTGACAACACAGCAAGCACCCAGGCAAAATGATACAATGTAGTAGGTGATATGTGTCACGAAGGTTTTGAGTTACTAAAGTTCATGTTAAAAATAAATATGAATTAAAATGGATTATTCTATTAAGCAAACATCCCCTCTAATCATACAAAGATCAGATATCCAATTCACAAACAATTAAGCCATAAAAAATCATCAAACATCCACCACCTTTGATTGCCTAAATTTGGTTTTTCGCAAAGTTATGGACTCTTAAGGGTAACGTTCATGGGTAGTCTGTTTCATAACTCTAGAGAGCATAGTAAGCAGCCACCAACCAGACACAGTGCGGTAGGCGAATATGATTCTCAATTCACAATTTCTCACCACCGGAAGTAAGAACAGACCATAATAAGCGTAGCGTTCATGGGTGGTCTGTTTCATAGCACTACTACACAATTTGTTAAAAAAGAAAGAAAGGTATTTAGCATCACGACGGAACAACTTTTACAGGCCAACAACGACAACATGTTGCAACCACCAGAACTGGTATCACAACTCATAGGGAAAATCAAAAGATTTACTCTCAAATTAAGTAGTTACAACATCGAGCAATCGTCAAGCACATACACCATCACAAAAGTCACAGAACCTGATTCACAAAGCATTCAAACATTTGAGGACATTTCTGCAAAGGTACAACTTATATGTCTTTTTTCCAAACCATATCCATCAACATGCTAATAAATTTGCAATGCATAAAACAAACAGGCCAAAACTTGAAATTCAACCTGTTTGACCGACCCATGCCAAATTCTAATTATTCTTTACTTTTAAACTTTCTATTTGAAAATAAAAAATAGTGAAAGAAAAGAGACGACTACAATTCGCCATTTGCACATCACTTATTTGGGAATAAAACCATATAAATTCAAAAGGAACTGAAAATGTTTAGGATCGTTTTAATGTTTAAAATAACCAAATAGATCTTTATGTTTAGTTTTTTACTAACAAATACCAAACGATTCCCTATAAAATACACTATAATTTGATCATTATGATGTCAAATAATTATAAAATATATATTTGAAATGATAAAAATTGGACTAATTGGGTTGGTCGAGGTTGAACCATTGAATAACTTTAAAATACATTATATTTTAGCCACTAAGATATAAAATAATAGCATAATATATATTATGTCAGAGAAAATAGCTTGTTTTAGAATGGCAAACCAATGATGTTCATTTGTTTTACTTGATGACCAAATCCCATGTAGGTCAGGCTCATTCAACTCTTTTGTTTTATGGTTAGCGGTTAGCCCATTAGATACCATGCATTAGTTTATTGTTAAATTTTTTATTTTTAATAATAAAAAGGAGTATTATTTTTGTCTTTTCATATATATTTTATCACCACGGAGAAATAAAAGGGTATAAAGAAAAAAATTGACACTCCTGGACCCGTTTAAATCCGCATGTGTACGGTAAGTTGGCCCGTTCCACAGAGGAAAGAGAAAAAAATTGACACTCCCTATTCCACCATTCCTACAAACGCTCTGGAATAGGAAATTTGAAATAGGGGAAGAGTTTTTCCCACCCTGCTATTATATGTTTTTAATTTAAAAAGATACAACAAATGTATTTAGTGTGATTGGTTATGATCTTTGCCTTTCTTTAAAATGGTCATGGTTCAAATCCCAGTATGTATCTTTTTAATGAATAAAAAAAAGTAATTGTGAAGACCAAAATGTCCTTCCTACTTTCACTCTCATTGCAGGAAATTTGAAATGGGGTTCTCGTTTTTCCCTTCGGTGTATTATGTTATGTGTAGATGAGTAAAACTGTTCCACTCTGCTCTTTTGTTATCTTAACCAATCAATGTAAATGTAATTCTCTTTATATGTACTATGCATCCCACTTTTTGGATTTGTGATCGCTCTTCTGTAAACTTCAGGTCATCAGTTGAGAATTTCAGGACCAAAATTATTGGTCAGAATAGAATCCTGGCCTCGTTAATTTCCCACCACCACCATGGAGGATGAAAAGAGGATTAGGCACATCAACCCAAATGAATTTCAACTACTAACCATAAGAGGAAAATACAACCAAATCCCCTAAAAGAGAGTGAAAAAAAAGGAGAACCAGGCACATCAAACACACAAAATATGATGGCCTCAGCTAGAAATTACTGCCCAGCCGATATTTTTTTACACGTTTTTGTCCTATGGGGAGAAGGGAAAGTGCATTATGAAATTCAAATTTAGGATCTTTGTGTTGAAAATCAGTAATGGAATCGTTAGACAGAATCTCGCATTCATCTACTAAGTCGAGTTAAAGCTAAGACGAGTGCTACTCATTGCATGGGTTTATATGTAGGGATGCAAATTGGTACATTATCGATATCGCGATACTACATATCTAAATCCCGAATACTAATTAATAACCTAAAATCAATTCAAAAATAATTTTGGTATCACAGTTCTGAAATATTTTGTTATGGTATGTATTCAGAAATAAAAAATAAATTACCTTCACAAATAATGTTTTTTAAATGGTGATACATTTACTAACAAAAAAGATTATCATAGGACAAAAAATAATTAGAGTAAATAATAAAGAAATAATGGTTCCAACATCCCTCACCTCGCAAAATATTTATATGATGTAGGTCTACATGTTTAATTTCAGGATTGAAAATCTGGAGGATGGAAAGTTGATTGTGAGAAAAGTTTAATGAGAAATAATTAAAGGCCCCATTAAATGGATTTTATCAAGATCTACAGTGAATTCATTCACAGATTCTACTTGGGGGCCGAGAGACTAGGAAAATGGTATTGAGCTTGCCTAATGTTAAGGAAAATGGAGAAAATTATGATATCTCAATTTTTTGTTTTTGGTAGTCTTTGATTTAATGGACTGGAGTTTGAGAGTGGATTAACTAGAGTGTCTGTGTTATGATATTCTGAAAATAACAAAAGGTTAATTGAGAGACGAGAGTGATCTATAAAAAATGGAAACCAGACTTAGGTTTACTAGAGATTTGCGAGTTTTCAAAGTGTGAGGAAGGGTAGGAGCTGTGAACTATGTTTATATAGTTGTATTAACTAAAAAAATCAAGGCTGATTATTTAGTTGCTAAGTCTGAAAGTTTATGTACTCCAAACTTTCTGAGACCCATAACAACAACGAATATGTTACTTCTTTCAACAATGGGAAAGGTTTCTAATGTTAAACTTATATATATTGCTATTATAGATATATAACAAGCCGACCAAATTCAGAAAAAAAAAGGAAAAGCAACAAAACATGGGAAACAGTTAGGGAAAGTGCAAGCAATCATATAGCCAAAAACTTGAGTACTAACCCATGATGAATAACCTTTGTGTTTTGAGATTACTATTTCCCTTACTAACTAACGGAGCATGAATTTTATCCTTTTTGACCGAATTTAATTGTGTTTGGATACGGGTCACTGGTCATCCCTACTCACAAAGAGAAAACCTCTTACTCACAATGAATCTCTTCTAATTCAAGCTAATTTGATCACCATTGTCCATTAATATCCTTATATTTCTTTTATGTACAAACCCTTCCTTCTCTCCTACCAATTTTCCAGTTAGCCTACCACCAATCAACATCTCATCCTCACCTATCTATTGACTAGTACATATAATTGCTACTACTTCTACCCCACTCATTCTTCTTCCTTTCCTCCCCAAATTCCCTAGGTAAGAAGGCAACCTAAAGTATCTAGAGATGGAGTGGTTTCCAAGGCAACTAGCCAAGGGTTTGTTCCACTTCTTCCTTAGGTAGCATTATTATTGTTCTACTTAGTAGCAAGCAAGCATTATTGAACACTATCTTTCATTGGTCATTTGTCAAAAGGAATTCCGCTGAAAGAATGATGGATTCAAAGGGAGAAGCTGGTAGGTAGGGCTGAAATTTTGGATGACCCGCACCTGATCCTGGTTGACCCGTTCCTAAAGGGTCAAGGCACATAAGTGACCCGCCCCTGACCCTGT